CGGCCGCCATTAGGCCGATTTTCAAAAACTACAAAGCTTTTGCGTCTTTCAGACCGACGGAAATGAGTGAGATGCTTTTTCGTGATGTACATGTCATATAACATCTAACAAACATATCTCATTTTAGGAAATTTTCACGATTACAATACTTCGGCGACATTATGCATGGGAAGCAAACCACGAATTCACTAAAACTTACTAAAAAAATTAATTTCCAACCACGACTGAATTAGCACGAATTATGTAAAGCAATAAAGAGAATCACCTGGATTTTCACGGTATATTCCTATAAATGACTTTTATTAAATTTCCGCCACTACTGCTTTTTATTATTTCGTAATTATACCAAGTGACTTAGAAAAAAGGACACCTAGCTTTTCATCTAAAAATGAATTTTGATTTTTGATGCATAAAAATAAGAGTTTTTGCTTTCCAATCTATAACCAAAGACCTCAAGCCCTCAACTATGTTACTATTTTTTATTTCTTCTCATTGGCACCCACCTGAAAGTTCTTAGGGGGGGGAGGCGGTCATCGGCAAAAGACAACTTTTTGTGAAAGTATACTTGCCCCAAAAACAAAAACTTTTTGAAGAGCGGGGGGTAGCAAATTTTCCCAGGGGCCCAAGTCCGAAAAATCACTAAAATTGTACTCTAAGTCATGCTAAATATGCAAATTTTAAGGTCCAAATGGAATCTCGCGGGCCGCTGGCCTTCCTGTTTTTTCTACCCAGTGGAATTTTAACAAAAAACTACCCTGTGATGGAACAGTGCACTGTTCTGTAGTGTCCGATATCAAATAGGTGGTCACCAACAAATAAAAAACAATATTTTTAACCACATTCAAATTGATGCAAATTCTGTAAAACACCAAAGCATTAATTTGTTTTCCCGTATTATATCCATTTCATTGTGATATTTTTAGAATGTTTTTCACTTGAGCATGTGGTGTGTGGGGTGCGGGCGGTAAGTAAGCCCATAGAAAAGTGTTCTTGCCACTTGCCATTCAAATCCGTAGTAGTTCACAAATGTGACCACGCTTGGAGTTGGTTCTAAAAGTGCTGTCCTCAAAGAAATCAATATTTTCAATCACGCACTATTTTACGTAAATTCTATAAAACACCACACACAGCATTTGCTTTCCAGTTTCATATCAATTTCAGTGTGATATTTTTAGGATGTTTTGCACTTGAGTACGTGCTCTGTAGGGTGGGGGTGGTACCTAAGCCGATAGAAAAGTACTTTTGCCATTCAATAATACAGACTGTAAAAGCAAATGAGTGATTATAGTCTATTTTCAGATCCATAGTAGTTCTGATCATCCTTAACGTTATTGATTCGAAAACTGTTGTCCTTTGATATCATTCAACTGATCTGCTGTGTCTGATATCAAAGAGCTGGCCATCTCTGTTGGACATTCAAAGTTCCTGCTTCGCACACCTCACCTCTTCTGCAACCCCCTGCAGAGAGTTGCAGGCGTTGCAACGGCTGCTGGTGCACCGCTGACGGCAACGCTTTGCCGCGTAGCGTCTAGACTCGATCCGCGTCGGGACGACCGATCTCTCGTTCGCGGCTATTCACCCTTCGGCAGGCGAAAACGCAGGCCGGAGCACTCTATTTTCAACCCCTGGGATGAACTTACCGGCATAGGGCGTTGAACTTTTGGTGCTACGATTGGAATTCCACTTCATCTCCTAAAAATGGCGTCAAGCAGGTTGATTCACAGTCATCATGCATAAGTCTTTACTACTAAGGTGATAAATCGCCATTGTTTGCCGCGTTCCTATAAAGTTAGGGGATCCTAAGTAAATAATGATGGCGAAAAAACTCTAGGTAAATGAAATATAGGGCATCTTTGACTTGTTAGATATATAATTGTCAGTGTTATAAACCCTTAATGAATATTTCATAACTGAAATTATTGTTGTTGATTGTATTTATTTATCTAATTTTTTTGACAACTTGGAAGTCAGATCCTACTGGATAAATTGGAATATTTGAAAATGAGTGGAAAATAAATGATGTGTGGACGTACGTAACATCTTTTATCTTTCGGGCAATACTATGTAGCGACAGAATATCTCCCACGCACCGTCTGTGGTGCAGTTATTGCGTCGGCTGAACCGAAACACAGTTTCCGGATGTTCAGGAAATTCTCGTATATGATTTTTTTCAAATACAAATTAAATTAAACGTGTTAATATACAGGGTGGCGCATGGAAAACGAAACAGACGCATTTACTGGCAGCTTTTTTTTGAAAACGCTCAGATCCGTCGATTTTGTTTTCGCTTGGGACACAAGATAAATCACGTTAGCATGTGCAGCCCCCTAAGCGGAGGCGACACCACCCCCAAAATCTTAAATGGAAAGGGGGGTCGAGTGATACCTTATTTTAAAAGTCTTTCAATTCCCTTTATAATGATATAAAATTAATGTACGTCAGTAGTTTTAAAGATTTATTTATTTAAATCTCAAATAAAACTAATACATCATCATTAGTGGAGATCAATAATACATTTGGCAGCAAAGTAATTTAAAAATGATGAATGACCTGACCCGTTAGGCAAGTAAATGTTGAAAATGGCCACCATGACTCTCCCTGCAATAATAAAGATTTTGCTCAAAACGTTGCCGCACATTTTGCAATATTTGAAGAGTAATTTGAAGGCATTCATTCACAATTCTTTGTCGCAGGTCGTCTAATGATGTTGGCTGAGTAGCATAGATTTTGCTTTTTAAATGACCTCACATAAAGAAATCCAAAGGTGATAAATCTGGCGATCTTGGGGGCCATTCAATGACACCTCTTCTACCAATCCATCGATCTGGAAACGTCTGATCTAAATATTGTCGAACACGTAATGAGTAATGTGGTGGGGCACCATCCTGTTGGAACATCAACCTATTCGCAATGTACCGCCGATCATTCTGATTTTCAATTATGGCTGTTAATGCAGGATATATGGCGTCTTCCAGTAATTCCAAATACATTTCACCGGTCAAATCTCCAGGTAAGAAAAAAGGACCCACTAAATGATCGCCAAAAGTACCAGCCCAAACATTTCATTTTTGTCGCTGCTGTGTATGAACCTCATGATAAATTCTGGGATTAGAATCGGACCAATATCGGCAGTTATGACGATTTACTACGCCATTTAAGAAAAAGGAACATTCGTCGGAAAAGCAAGTGTTGAATAGAAAATGTTCATCGTTTATAATTCGTTCACTCATATCTTCACAAAATTGTAATCGCCGATCAAAATCGTCTTCATTAAGTTCTTGTACCAGGTAAATTTTATGCGGATGAAAACTATGGGCCTTTAGAATCCGTTGCACGGTACGTCGACTAACACCACACACAGTCTCCAATTTAAGGGTACTTAACGTAGGATCTACATAAACTTGCCCTAAAACCCCCACTTCTATTGCTTCGTTCCTTATGGGATTTTCAATGTTGCGTTTTTTATTGGCGACTGACCCAGTTTCCCGAAATTTAGCTACAAGTTCTAGAACATATTTCCGATGCACGTTACTGTTCTCATGTCGCTCATTAAATATTTCTGCTGTTCTATTGGCGCACTGAGTATTTCCGAAAAATATTTCGATAATTTCAATTCTTTCTGCTGTGGAATATACCATGGTTAATTTATGTAATAAAGCGTTACAAGTTATTTTAGCAACAAAGTTTGGTCAAATCAATCGCAAACTATGTACTAAATTCCTTTTTAAAAGTAAGTACGAGATATTTCCTTATCTTTCTTCAAGAAATAACTTTTTTGCCACAAAAAACCGCTCCAATAGCTATTTTCAACAACAAAATGATAAACAAACCATGGGCATAGTGAAGAAAAGCATTTACTTATTAAGTAAACTCTTTTAGTCAAATTTCTTCTGAAAGTAGTACAAACTAATCTGATGTACCTATTAAAGTCTACTTTAATAAATAATAAATCTTCAAAACTACTGAACTGAAGCTCATGTATTTTACATCATTATAAAGGGAATTGAAAGACCTTTAAAATAAGGTATCACTCGAGCCCCCTTTCCATTTAAGATTTTAGGGTTGTGTCAACCTCGACCAGGGGGCTGCACGTCTTAACGTGATTGTTAGCCAAACTTGTGTCCCCCTCGAAAAAAAAATCGACGGGTATGAGCGTTTTTCAAAAAACAACTGAGCTGCCAGTAAATGCGTCTGTTTCGTTTTCGATGCGCCACCCTGTATAATCGTCAGTAGTGAACAGCACATTATATCCCTCGGCACTTCAGGATATAAAAGTGCACCAAAGTATATGATGCACTATTATCATATCTCAGACTGTCCCAGAAATTTTAACAGCTTAGTAACCAGTAAGTGATCATAAAAAATAGTTAGAGTAAGAATCAACCTAGTTTGGTACACCTACGTCACAGCCTACGTCAGCGCTGCAGCGAGACGTATGTCGCACATCAAGCGAGAGAACGGGGTTTATTCGGGGTATTCCAGTGGTGTAGTTGATTTTATAAATACATGCTGGTGAGATTTAATTGTTATATTTTTATAACATTCATTCAGATTCCAATAATTTCTTAATTTTTTTTTTTTTGTTATTAGTATTATTTATATGAATTTGTAGTTGGTAAATATGCAGTAGGTATGTGGATTTTTCTTATTATAGTTTTTATTAGGTAGGTAACAATTTATGAAAAACTGTAGGTCTATAAGCATTAATAAAATTGCCAGCGGTGTAATGAAAAGATGTGTTTTTAAGTTTTTCTTACCCCAACAAACATACGGGACCGTGGAGTAAAAGAAATCACAAAAAATGAATAGAAATTTTATAAAAACACCGTATTACAATGTTTTTCGAGAATTTTTCTATAAAATTTAGGAGAAAAAAAACAAATCTTCAGATGAATTCAAGTATAAAATCGTTATAATAAGAAAAATCTGTTTACTGTTGTATAATTACATACCTTGTTGCACACCAGATTTAAATTGTTTTTTTTTTGTTAATTACATATTTACATCACATCGTCATTTTGTTCAGAGCTGTCCGATTTAAGGATTGAACACCCTAGTTCATCCTCTGATGCCGCCTCATCGTCATCCCAACCCTCTTCACTCTCCTCAGATGAGCCTGTATTAAGAGTGAACACTAAATTTTTTACTGCTTCATCTAAAAGGTGTTCTTTTTCTATGAGTTCATTCTCATACTTTCTTACATGTTGGCAAATATTGAACCACTCTTGTTCTGTCACCTCCTCAAATTTTTGTCTGGCCAGCGCCTCAGTATCAGGCAATCTAAACGTGGTATTCCGCGCTGCAACCCAAAGCCCATATTTTTTCAATGGGGTTTAGTTCGGGATGATACGGAGGTAAACGGAGCACACAATGACCATCTTTTTCTAAAAGCTCATCTAACCTATATTTTATGGGAAAACGAAATTTATTTTCAGAAATAATTTTATATAACTCTGGTTTGGTTAATTTTGGGTCTGCTGGAATTCCGTTTGTTTCCAACCAATTAATCATTTCCGCTTTCCTAGTAGCCGTCGTAATATTTTTTTTTATAGGCACGTTATGGTACGATGCATTATCTACAACTAAAACAGACCTCTCGGGTAAGTTTGGTAATAGTTGTCTCTCGACCCATGTCATAAAATTTTTTGAATTCATTTCGTTGTGATAGTCAGCAGTTTTCGTTCCTAAAATAAAAATATATGTACTCTAAAAATATATTCCTAAATAGATTAAGTAAACTAAATTACCTGATTTAAAGATAAGTAATCCATTTACGATACCCAATAATTTTTTTTAAGAATTTTATACGCTTAGCGCGTATGTCATAGGATTCGCATAAAACTTTTCGTTTATCTTGCATTTTTTGCCACTTAAATCCAATTTTTTTCAAAAGTCGGCTCAGGGTGCTTATGCTTAATTCAGCGACGTCTTCTGATAATACACCTCGATCGAGGATCTTTTGTCTAATACCTAAAATAAAATTAGAGCTTATTTCAGACATTCTAATAGACAAAGATTCTATGCAATCTACCGGGTGAGTATATTTTAGAGAATATAGTTCAGAAACTCCTGACATGGAGAAAAAGGTACCAGAGACAATCTTTCAATTTTAATGCTTACCCTTTAATGTCGGTAATTTTTTTCCATCATGTAAAAATTGTAGATTATTTCTCTAATACTTTTAATCTGGTGAGGTGTGAAAGAATCCAATTTCCATTTCTTCATATTTTTCCTTTTTTTGGGGCTTGAAAAGAGGTACTTGGTCCTTGCAAATCCTTTTTCTTAGATTCTTTGCAAATTCTCTGGTAGGTATTCTTTGATACCCCAGTAGCAGCCAATACTCTATCACTAAAATTAATTTCCTTCTAAATATTATATTAAATTTAAGGAATCTAATATGATTATTTCGTAGACAAATCATTTTTAATTTAATTCTCGACACGGAATTTTACTTAATTATTATTTACAAAAAAAAATAATAAAATTTTAACCATCTACCTTTACTTTCGGTAGAAAAGTTGAAAATAATAATTACATAGATTTGGGACACGCTGTACATATAATGAAAATAAACTTTGTGAAAGCTTTCAAAATACTGGAATTGTGTATTCTTATTGATTAACATACCTGTAATTTGTCAAAGGAATGCTAATCCCTTCTTCAGCCTCTTTTTTCATGAACTTAATAATATTGTTCACAATTTCACAGCTTTGGCTGTGTAAAACACGACCCCGTCCAAGTTTTTTAGGTGCCATATCAATATTATCAATATAAACACACACACACACACGTAGTAATATCTTAAATAAATAGTCACAAATAATTTCAAATTAATACCAAAAAACAAACAAACAGATAAAACGCCGGCGATCTTTCGGGAACAAAACAACTGGCAACGCTTTCAATGACGAAATCAATATCCTTATGGATGTTGACCGAACGATTGCTCAGGCAGTACTGCGAGAGCGTTGAATATTATGATATTTGAACCTCGGGGTTGCCAGCTCATTTCGACATTCATTTGCGTAACAATATTAATACAAAACAGCAGTGCACGCCTGTGAAGTTATTCCGCATCGATCTTAGAACAACTAAACAGACATCGCACTATATTTTCTCTTTGTTGCGTGTGACGTAGGTGTACCAAACTAGGATGGTTTTTACTCTAACTCATTTAGAATTCCAGAAACGGACTAGTCCCACATATTTGTAATTTTTTACATCCTGTATAAGGGCTCAAAAATATATTTGAGACGTGAAAAAACAAATTAGGGGATTTTTATAATTTTTTTGCTTTGTTTCTCCGCCGCCACTGGACCGATTTTTGAAAACTACAAAGCTTTTGCTTCCGTGTAACATTGTTTAAAGTTTTCATCGAAATCTGAGCAGTACGGTAACAGACAAACAGACCGACGGAAATAAATGACATGGTTTGTCGTGATGTACATGTCATGTAACATCCAAAAAACATAATATCTCATTTTCGAAAATGTTCGCGATTACAATCATTCTTCCCCGCCATTGGGCGTCGGAAGTAGAAAGTGACTCCATATCGATTTTTTAGTGACGTGTAGGTACATGTCTTTCCGAAAAAATGTCTCCTTGGAACTAGCGCTTATGCACTTCATCTTCACTTGTACTAGCTTTCAGGATACTTGAGCTATATGATTTGGCTCTGATGTTATGTAACATCTGCTTCAGAAATGGCACTAACCGCTAGTGCCTCCGTATTGCATTCCTCCATAGATGGTGTTTACAGCGAGTGCGCGTGGTGTGGACTAGCGACTAGCTAGTACAAGTTAACATTATACCGATTTTTAACCTATTCTATGTTATATTTGTGATGTATCTCTACATGGGAGACCCTGCACATGAGCACCCGCAGGTCTGAGGCCTCTACTGAGAATCCACTTAGACCTTGAAATTCGAATAAATAGCTTGATTTTGTATACATTTTTAGGGATTTTTAAGACCCCCCCATAAGAAAATCTGCTATCTCTTGCTCTTCAAAAAGTTTTGGAGACAGGTACATTTCCTAATGAGAATTTCTGCGGGCGCCCAAATTATGCGCTAGAAAACGACAAGTTCGTTTAGATGATAGAGTAAAGCGCAAATGTACAAAGCTATGTTAGATAAAATTATACCCAGCCACCATTACAAGAAGTCAGTAATTTCTGGCGTGGATGCCCCCAGTTTGTGCCACCCTGTATGGATGAAAATTTTTCAATAGAATCAGGGTGTATAAGCGAAGTTTTTGGCCCTTACAATAACTCAAATTTCCAATTGAACAGGTTGACAGGTACACTTCTACAAAAAGTTCTCTTGCCAGTGATCGCCCCCTCTCTCAATTGAGAAAAATTCTTGCGGGCACCCATGGTTCTGTGAACAATTTTCCTATAGGATCCGAAAGATTGTACATTATTTTGGATATTCTCTTTAAAAACTGTGACACTCCGGCCTGGATTCGAAGTCAGCCCTCTGGTGTCAGAACTCCGCGCGGCTGCATTTGGTTCGCGTCGTCTATGGCAACGGGAGGAAGTTATCATTATCAGTCTTCTCGTACTAGCTAGAAAGGTGGGGTGGGGCCGATGTTTAGGATGCGCCTGTCTGCCCCACAAAAAAAAAGAACACGCATCTCAGCACACCACACGTGCTTAGAAACGTCTTAAGGGTTCAGTGGTATAGGGTGCGTTAATGCGTTAAAACACATTATAAATAACGTTACGGTACGTGACACCATTGATTTGGGGTGAGATGGTGAGGAGTGCGTTTGAGCGGAAGCTGCGGAAGGATAACTGATGGTATCTTTTCCTTTTTGGGTTTGGCGCGTGGATTGATGATAATGGTGATGGAAACATCCTTTTGGGACAGAAGGTAGCAAGGCGTTTGAATACACATGCACACAAAAAGATGCTATTGGTTCAAGAGCACGAGTTTCTGTGAAGTTATGATATTGATTTCAGATCTCAGGTACCTGTAATGAGGTAATTTCATTGTTTCAATGAAATATAACTCTTAAAATTAAGAAATGTACCATATCTCAAAATACAGTTTTTAACAGCTTTACTGTTTTGCTCCAAGGAAAAGCGTGATTTCGTAAAATCAAAATTGAACATATCTATCAATAATACCGTAGTTGCGTTTTCCTATTACGCATAGAATTTAGGTTTATATTTGGATAAAGATGTCAGGTTCCAGGAGCATGTATTGAGTAAAATAGCTTACTGCAACATTGTTTATTATCCCTATCTGGGCGAAATAACAAAATACAGGCTGAAAAAAATTCAAAATGAATGCTCCCGCTATATAAACAATTTAAGAAGATACGATCATGTTTCTCGCTCAATAGCTTTCATGAATTGGTTAAAAATAAATTTGATTCACAACTTGAATATTCGCAACAATCATCTCCTCATATTGCCACAATACAGTGCATCCATATTTCAACACTCTTTCATGTACAATGCGGTGAAGTTGATTAATTTTTTTTTTTTTTTTTTTTTTTTTTTTTTTATATCGAAACAGCCGCGCAGGCAGAAGCCTAAATGCCGGAACACCGCGGCTGCTATGATGATCCCAAAGAAATTTTGTTAATACGATTTTTGAACTGCCTAAGGTTAGCAGAACTGGGAAAAGCTTCCTCCCGTAGTTTGTTCCACAATCTAGAGACCCTCGGGACAAAGGAGCGGTCGTATCGGCCAGTTCTGGATGTACGAAATTTGACACGGTTAGGATGGGACGCCGAAGTCAGGCGGGTCTGTCTGGCAGGCACATCGCGCGGCGGCATCATGGAAGAGAGCTCTGAGGAGCAAAGCCCGTTGGTGTAGCGATAGAAAAGAGCTAGATCGCCGACGGCCCGCCGGCGCGAAAGAGTCCCGAGGCTGTCTGTTAGAGAAGAGTCATCGATCAGTCGGACCGCCCTCCTCTGGACAGCATCGAGCATGGACAATGTAGTCGGGGCGGCAGCACCCCAAATGTGTGAGCAATACTCGAGGCTAGGCCTTATCTGGGCCTTGTATAGAGTGAGAAGGTCATGCGGAGAAAAGTACTTCTTAGCCCTAAACAAATAGCCTAGCTTTTTCCCAGCAGCTGCAGCTATTGAAGAGATGTGTTCGTGCCAGATCAGGTCCTCGGTGATCTGGACTCCGACCAGCCGAAATGAATGGCTCTTTGGTAGAACTCGACCGTCCATCGAAACTGTATGAGCGCTAGGACGCTTTTTGTTCGTCAAAGTACAGTACTGTGTTTTGGAAGCATTGAACTGTACAAGATTGTTGCGTCCCCAAGCAGTGATAGCCTCCAGGTCTCTTGTCAGAGAAGAAGTCGTCGCTAGTCTTCTTTTTTCCAGCTCAGCGGCAGAGATCGGCTTGTCACTCTGAATTCCTGCATGTAGAGTGCTGTCATCAGCGAAGCTGTGGATTGGGTTGATCGTGCAGGAAAGGAGGTCGTTGATATGTAAGAGAAACAGTGTTGGAGCCAAGACCGATCCCTGGGGAACACCCGCGTTGACGTTGTGGGATGAAGAGGAGAATCCGTCAATTACGACGGATATCTTGCGGCCAGAGATAAAGTCAGCCACCCATCTGCAAAGCTTTTCTGGGAGGCCGTAGGATGGAAGTTTGCTCAAGAGGGCAGCGTGCCACAGCTGATCGAACGCTTTCGTGATGTCAAGAGCAACGACATGAGCCTCACCATGAGACTGGATGAGTTCACTCCACAGTTGCGTGACGTAAGCTAGGAGGTCCCCTGTGGATCGTTGGTGCCGGAAACCGTACTGCCTGTCGCTAATCAAGCTGTGACGTTCGAGGTAGTCCAGAAGCTCGCGATTTATGCACCTCTCCATCACTTTACTGATAACAGAAAGCAGAGCTATAGGCCTGTAGTTGTAAGGGTCGGTTTTAGATCCTTTTTTTGGGATGGGCTGTACATGAGCAAATTTCCAGTTTTCTGGGAAGGTGCCGGATTCATAAGATATCTGGAAGAGACGCGAAAGAACTGGAGCAAGCTAATTTAAGCAAAATTTTATTAGCAAATTTTCAAAAAAAATCTATAAGATATGTTTATTAAATATGTAATTGTTTTTTATTTTTAGTTTCTCTCTCTCTCTCCGGTTTAAATTATATGTTCATCTTCGTGATGCGTAGGATTGGTACAAGGGCCGACTACGCGATATACTTTTGGATTAAAATTTGTCTATTACGGATTATTTTCCATTAGGTTAAGTTTTAGGTTAAGGTAGAAATAGGCTTACGACACGGATAAGTATGAATAGCCGTTAGCCAGACTTCGCGACTTACGATCCTCAATTCAAGATACTTATCTTGACCCAAAAGGACTCTTTTATGTGTAGCGAATACGAGGATAATTTCTCGACCTGACAAAGATGCTGCACGTGCTCCAATCCGGAAAAAAATATAATTTCTGCAGAGGTGCTTATGACATTGGTTCGAATGAGTTTCAACTAGTTCATTCAATCAGTTTGACTACACGAATTTTTGGAGTGGACATCTTGCGTGGCTTTCAGATGGATAAACTACCCAACTAGCAAAGTAGTGCTATACTTTTTTGGTGAAAGAACTGTTGAACCGTAAAAGCGCTCTTTTGTTGTTGCCTGAACACCATAATGCTGACTGCAGCATATTTGTTCAAAAATGAGGTGTCTAAAACATCCTTGTAGCATACTTATAACATCTTATATTTGCAGAAACGTTTATACAACTATTTTATACGGCATATTAGCTTGGTGGTGAAAATAGTTGTGTTGTGGCATCCATACTAACCTTTATACAACAAACTAGAGCCGTGGTGATTTCAAATTACTACTTTAGCCAACAAGTTGCTCCCAACGGAAGCATTTATACAACTTTCGTTTAGTAACTGTTGAAGGCTATAATCTGCAACAATATCACAACTTTTATAGTATAAAATTGCTGTGCAGGGCATAGATTTGTTGCTTAATATATAGATACACAACATCACCATAACCTAAGTTTCTGCTATCATCTTTTTAGGTCGAATGCCATAACCATTATTTTTGTTCTTCAAAACAAACAACGCATAAATATTCGTTGTGAAAG